TTAGTGCTGGTGCATTAATCCTGAAGCAATTCAAAGACGATCATCCACATATAATGAAACTACACAAAAGAACGGATAATACCAGTAACTTTTCGTCGCATTCAACGGCTGAAGCTGAACGTATCATTTGTGATAAGGTAATTGTTGTGACACTTCTTTGCGCTGCTGTACATCGGCATAATCGAAATTTTCGGATTTAGATGGGTATAGAATTACTGTGCAGGGACCACAGTGAAGTCCAAAAAGGAAAGGATATATGTGATCGTATAATGGGTGTATCGAAATCTCGTTTACGTGCATGGGAAAGTAACAGACATGACATACAAAACGCAATTGACATAAAAGAAGGATTTGAATATGCAGGTGGAATTAAAGACACAAAAGTAGCAGTGGCACAAATAATTGATGATGAAGAACGTAACGTTTACCTCAACAGCAGTTTTAGATAGTAAACTATTTGTCTATATGTTTTCCTTTCAGGTTTCCTTGGTGCATTAAATATTCCAAATGTTACGGCAGTTAGGAGTATTGTGTATGATACAAACTTTCAGATATTTCATGGATAAGTAAGTCATAACGGAGAAAAGTAGGAAATGTTTTTTATCCACTAGAGAGAAAATATTCAATTATGAATGACTTAAAATATCTCCTAATGCAAGGAAAAAGCAAGGTAAGCAAACTTTTTCTGTGGAGACAGATGTCGCTAGAAATGAGTCTAAATTTGATAACAAAGTTGTAGATGGATGCGTTACCTTGTCTGTTCAAAAGAAAGCTGATACTTATGTTTATCAGTTGTTTCATGTTCCAAACCCAATTGCTGTTGCTATGTAATATCTGGCAAAGCGAGCACATATCACCGGAAGAAAAAAATAAAGTTAGTTTTGAGTTGCTGAAAAGTGGTTTTTCGTATTCACCATACTCGATAACCCCGAAGATTTTCTAGTTTTGGCCAGGAGTACTTCCGAAAGTTTAAGAAAAATTTTGAAACAAAATGACGGAAAAAAATTTTCGTGAAAAAATATTATTAGTTTGAAAATTTTTCCTAAACTTTCGGAAGTACCTCGGGCCAAAAATAGAAAATCTTCCGGGTTTATCGAGTGTGCTGAATACGAAAAACCACTTTTCAGCAACTCAAAACCAACTTTATTTTTTTTCCGGTGATATGGATTTCTGAGATACATCACAATCGAAGGAATAATGTTGAAGTCTAAATCACGTCTTTTTTTTAATAGAAAACCGTACATTATCGAAAACAGCAAAATTATGCCTTCCTTGCGGAATGTTTTCAAAATAAACAATTAAATCCAATCTTCGAGTATCCAATGGTATTTCACCACATTTATGTTGAAATAATATGGTTTCAGTTTCATTCTGGCGCACATCCAGACCTTCAAGAAAATATATTTGCGAAACGTGACTGTTATGCTTAGTTATTTCAGTGCTTACCTATCATTACTTGTCTACCAGTTTTTACTGCTGTACTGGTAAAAAATGTTATTTTAGCATAGGCATTACCACCGAACAAACCCGAAAAATTATATTCAGCTTTTCCGAAACCAATTAAAACAGAATAGTCAGTCACGTCTATTGATTGCGCTATAGATATAGTACCCAGAGAGGATAAGTTAGCAATTCTAAAATAACAATTTAATGACGAGCGATAATATTGAAATGTCTTGGTAGCATTGACTTTCATGGACCACGCCGATGGTAATTTGGTATGACAACCAAAGTTTTTACCATTTACCACTAAATTCTTGTCTTGAACCATGGCAAATGAGCCGTTTGGTAGTCGTGCACTGTCCAGTAGTCCGGCTTCCTGCAGCTGTTGTTCGGTTATCAACGCTTCATATAAATCAGCATTTGTAAAATCAGCTCCTTTGGTCCATGCTCGTGTGAAATCAGCATGTCTTAATATTGCACTCTTAAAACTAACTTGAGCCAATGTTGTATTACGAAAATCAGCTCGTTCTAATGAACATCGGCTGAAGCGTGTTTCTAATAGAAATGAGTTGGTAAATTTAATATCGTTCATTGATGAGTCTGCAAATCTTGAATATGGTAGGTGACAATTGAGAAACGATGCATTATTCAAGTCAACACCGGGTAGAGATAAATTATTGAAATTATTTAGTTTTGTTATATGAATATAATTCAGATCGGCCCCTACTAAATTTAATGTCAAACGATCGTGTCTCTTACCTTTATCATATTGAAGAAGTTGACTTTCATAGAGAAAGAGCAACAAATGTCTTTTTCTTTCTGGATCAAGTTTTCGTAGTGACGAAAGAGTTCTCGTGCGAATGTACAATAGTGTTTTATTATCCGTCGCAACTTCTTTTGTTAATAGTAGTTTTGCTATATCATCAACACAGCTAGAAAGTATTCGATCTTTCTGTAGGCTATCAGCTTGTCGTTGATCTTGCTGACGTTGTCGATTAGCCGAAGATTGTTGTTGTATGGTGATCACTACAGTAAATATACCAATCATCAATGGGACGAGAGCTGATATAAGTAATGTTAACCAATCATGACAATCTCTTACACTTTTCTGCTGTGTCCGCTGGTGCTGCTGAGCTTGAGGCTGGGAATATTTTTTCTTTAGTGAAAACATTGACGCATTCTGAAAAGAATAGCTAAATATATCAAGTCTCAAAACTCGAGCCAACGCTTCGTTACTGTTTTCTTAAAAAGATGTTTCTGTGGATAATACGAAGTACATCTTTTCTGAGAAACAGCGAAAGCCACGTATGTAACTTGACTCTTTTTCATTAGATTGCACTGAAACATTCTTGAGAGCATATTAGAGCCTTCGCTATTTTTCATCTATATTGATCATTTAGGCAGTGACCGATCTATCGTGTAAAGTACGTGTGTCTGCGGACGATACTCTGCTACACAGTCAGGCCAACAATTGGCGTCGACTGATTGCAAATACGAATGAAGGTCTTTCTATAGCTTTAAAATTCAATTTCTGATCCGATTCTTTCTGGAATAGAAAGAGCTCCAAAAAGAGCTGCTAAGTAGAATCGTTTATATTTTTGAAAAGAGTCCACCATAAGCAGAGACTAAAAGGATTTATTAAATATGAAGTGTGTGGTGGAACGGCACATCCTCACCAGGAAGCAAGGAATACGTTGAACGACAATCGCCGTCGGCTTGAACTTTGTTGTGATTGTCGACGTCTAGTATCTTATTAATGTAAAAAACAATTCCGTATAATTTCTTGGTTATTTGTTTCTAAGACTCTTTTAATTTTCACACGATCTTCTAACGAGGATACCGCCCGAGGTAATACGTTCCGTTTCTAATGAGTTATACTTCAATAGATAGAGTATATGAAGCTAGTAAAAACCCATTATTCGGAAGAAACCAGTTTTCAGAAACTCTAAGAAACAACCAAAATCGTTCTTAGTGAGGCATGATTGTAGCGCGCACATTTCTAGTTAAAACGAGATATCTTCCAGCTCTGCACGATCTTTCTTTGCAAAGTTATAGAATTTACAAGAAAAGCTCTAAATTAATTTCTTCTTATTTCTGTAGCTTTGAGCTGACAATGAACTTGGGGCTTTTCTTGTAAATTCTATAACTTTGCAGTGAAAAGTCGTATAGAGCTGGCAGATGTCTCGTTTTAATCAGAAATGTATATGCTATAATCATCCCTCACTAAGAGACATTTTGGTTATTGTTTAGAGTTTCTGAAAAACTGGTTTTCCAGAAACGGGCCTTCAAAAGCCATAAACCCGAATCATTTTAAGATACTCTAAGCTCGATATACTCTATCGATTGAGGTATAATTCATTAGAAACGGAGGTATCACCTCGGCAGTTCCCTCGTAAGCATATTCTTGTAGTCATTTAAGAGCTCTATCTGCTAAATATAATTGATCATGATTACAGGTAATTCACGTGATAAAATAGCGAAATTTATGTCCCATACCTTTTTATGAAATATGAAATACTGTTGTTGTATGAATATTTCTGTAATAGTATCAATAATTCCAAATGATTTATATATTACTTAAGCTGCCGCCACTTACAAGTACATTCTGAAAATTTACAGTCAAAATAGTGTTTCGTTGTTGGGTTATTGAATTTTTAAAGAGAAATTGAAAAGCAGCAAAGAACGTTTTGTTCTGGCACAGATTTCATATTTAATAAATCTTTTTTAGTCTCTGCTTATGGTAGAATCTTTTCAAAAAATTAAACAGTTCTACTCAGCAGCTCTTTTTGTCGCAAAAAGAATCGGATCAAAAATTGCGTTCAAAGGCTACAGAAAGACCATTACAAAAAGAGGTAAGTTCTTTTACCCTGCACATGAACTTATAGGCTCTTGTACGGAGATAAAGAATTATTCGCTTCGGTGTGACATTCAAAATTCGTGCAATTTGTAAAATTAAAAGAAATTTCTAAAATTCAGCTGGATATAGAGTACAACTTGTGCACTTCAAACCGACAGAAAAACTGGAGAAGGGTACCTTCAAATTTGTTAACTTTTTTTAATGAGAAGTTGCTAAAATATACACTCATTTTATAACGAGTACGATTTTCCTTTTGAATAAAAGCATAAAATTTGTTCTTTTCTTCGTTTTTTTCTCAGAACTCGATGCGCATTCAGATGCAATACCTCGCGAGGATAATGGGAGAGATTTCCAGAGAGTCGGTTTTTCAATAAAACTCGTCATCAGTCTAGGACTCTTTAAGAGACACTGCATTTGAATGCGCATCGAGTTCTAAGCAAAATGAGGTCTTTTCGGACTTTCCAGGCTGAGTTATTGACAAATCTCTTAAAGGATTTCGAGTCAGCCTGATTACTGAAAGTAGAATGGCGTTATCTCAGCCTAGAGATACCCTAGAAGGCTCGAGGACGTCTCATTTTTCTCAGAATTGGACGCTCTGTCGATAAGATGTGCTTGGGATGAAAAAGCTTTCTAAAAGGCTCTTGATGGTTTCTCAGAGTTCTGGTTTTTCTCAAAAGCTACTTGGAAAACTCCAAACCTCTCAAACGCATTTGTGACGTATTCAGCATTGCTTTCTACCTAGAAAACTACAATAGCAGTGCTCTAAGTAGAAATATCACTGAGTTACGGTCTCATCAGCTGAAGGATTTTGATAATAAGGTCAGATTCGTGATCAGTAGTGTCCGACGAATCAGAATGTGTTTGGAAGTTCAAAAGCTTTTCCACTTGGTTTTTGAATTAGCAGCACCTTACCCTTTTCTAACAAACAGCTCGGCATAGAGCTCAACTTGTGTACTTTAAACTACCAGAAAAACTGGAGAGGGGTATTTTCAAATTTGTTAACGTTTTAATCTGGGACGTTGGTAGAACATAGGAGAAACTCGCAGTGAGCTCTGCTTTTTTCGAACATAGAATAAATGAGCATTTCGATGAAATATAAATTTTTTCCTTTCCTTATTTTGTTCTTTGAAGCAAAATAACGTACTACACACATACATACAACGACAAGAAAGAAGAAAAACAAGATCAAAGAAAAGAAAAAAGGCGCAGTGTGTTTGATGTGTACAGTTGAATATAGTGTAATATACCGTGAAAACCTAAGTGGTG